TACATATTCAATAACATCTGCTGCATCATCACATGCTGCTCCTAAGTATACTACTCCAATCGATTTGTAGTAGCTAGGAGCAATGTAACGATACCATCTAGTTTCTCGATCTTTGTTGCTTGTTTAGAAGAAAGAGCCTTTATTTCCTTTCGCTACACCTCAATATCAACATGGAGCTGCGATGTGACTAAATTAGAGGATGGTACCGTCTATTAATCGGAGGATCGAGTGGGTTGATCGGTTAGAGGATCGGTGGATGAATTGCCTTTTTACATATTCATAACATCCGCTTCTATCATCATATGCTACTCTTGAGTATACTATTCCAAGCTGATTTATAGTATCTAGGAGCAATGTAACGATACCATATAGTTTCTCGATCTTTTTTGTTTGTTTAGAAGAAAAAACCTTTATTTCCTTTCGTTGTACTCTAATATCAACATGGAGTCGCGATGTGACTAAACTATAGGATGTATTGACATTAGAGTAATAATGAGAGGTCCGTGACCCGAGTTCGTATATCATCTTCCTCTTACTATCTCCTCTTCCAATAACCTTCTTAAAAATCTCGTTCACGTCGATGTTGGGCGATGAAGTACCCTTCGTCTCCCGACTAGCAACCTCCTCCTCAAATATTTTTTTGACGTTCTCCTACATAATTGCACAATTTTAATATTAAAAAAGTTATCTCAATAAGTTATATAAACGTGACATATGTATGAAATAACTTTATTAAATTACTTATTTTGAGAATTCTTGTCCACTCATTGATGAATATGTACTTATCATTATCCTTCTTCCCGTGAGTCCTCACGAAAATCTCATGAGCATTGGGTTCACGATCCAACTCATTATGCTTGAAAGAGAAATATACTTAAATGTTTGTTGATGTTGCAATATATATATATATATATATATATATTTATTTATTAAGATTTATCATATGTATTGCATACTCTTGTGGGTGATTGAACTCCACGTATGTCTACAAGTCGCCAACTCGGATCAAGCCCGAGACTCGAGTTTTGTCCATTTTTTATGCGATGCATCCCATATCTTCTATGAGATATTTGTTGCTTTGAGGTTTTTTTACCCGATAAAGAAAGTCGAATATCGTTTTCGTGTCGGACTCTGCCATGCTTTCTTTATGCTTATCTTGATCTCCCTCTCTCACTTAAAGGACTTCGCAAGAACGTTAAAAATGTTCATTAATATATTTAAATTAACATTAATGTTTCTTAATTGAAACATACGAGTCACGTAATAAATTAAGCTAAAAATTATCTTAAATTGTCCCCAATATAACTCTTTAGTTTGCTCTTAAATTAACATCCACGTTGATCCGAATATGTCAACATACTCATAAAATATCTTAAAGATACAATGAATGTAAATATCGAAAGGATATAAGTTGCTACACAAGACATGAATTAACGGTTAAATAAATACATAGATATAATAATATATATAAAATTTAAACAAATATGCATAATACGTATTTCTTGTCATCAATGATACTAATTGCAATCCAAGAATTGAATGTAGAATCGACAAGTGCGAAGCCAAATTGGAAAGGACGTTTGGCGATGAGCTATGTTCGGGAGCATAACGATCGTCCTGTTAGGATGAGAGTTTTGATGAAAATAAAGGTTCAAATAAGTGGGGACATAGAGGTCTATAATATCGCGATTTAGGTCGGGACATGTCAAACGATGATGGGTTTGATTGAAATGCTACCATGCAAAGAAGTCGAGCAATGACGCATGATGTCTACATCGACTTCATGTTTGGCATGCCACGTCATGTCACCGATTGTTGTAGTCGATGTATACATCCTCTATAACCATAGAGTTCGAAAAAAACAATATATTTTTTTAGACGGGACATATGTTTCTCTAATTGATCCTCACCTAGGACTTTGATATCGAGGATAGTCACGGATTTTACAAGTAATTTTTTTATTGTTTTCATCCCAATAAATCATACAATCATTTATACGACTATGGATCCGTTGAATCGATAAACCCATCGGTTCCATTAACTTTTTGTACTCGTAAAAGTTTTATGATATACAATTATCAACATGCATCAACTCTTTCATAAGTTGATATAAGTCATCGCAACACCTATCCGAAAATGATGTTCGGACTCGAGGTGTAATAAACGTGCCACCGTGGATAATTGTGAGTGATTTTTGAATCGGTTCAAATCTTCTATTAGATTCATTCAATAAATTATAAAATACTTAGGCATCGGGGTTTGGGACTTCGTCGGTGTTAGACAGATTAAATGATGGATCGGCTACATCTATCACCATTGTGTGATATGGATTGGTTAGAGGTTCATCAAATATTTGTTCAACTTAAACAAAATTTACCTAGTTGTCACCACAAATGACCAAATCATTTTCTCCATGACGTGTCCATATATAATACCCGGATACAAAATCATATCTTATCAAATGGTACTTAATTGTATTAGGATATTCATAACTACGATTTTGATACTTTTTAAGTTTATAAGGACACTTATCTTATTTGCCTTCATACACTCCAAATGACTAATGACAAAATTAATAAATTCATTAATCTCATCTACAAAACACCGATTTAAAAGACTATTGGTAACTCTATAGTCAATTGATGAACGATCCGAATTCCTTACAAACTAAATTTAATTAATTTAATAAATAGCTAATTTATTTTTTTAACAAATAAAAAAATTAATTAACTATTTAATTAATTACACTAAAACATAATTGTTAATTTTATACTTAATATAATTAATTTAATTAACAACTAATTAACTTATTTTAACAAATAAAAACATAATTAACTACTAAATTAATTATACTAACACGTATTTGTTAATTTTAAACTAAATTTAATTAATTTAACTAACAACTAATTTACTAATTTTAGGAAATATAAAACTTAATTAGGTACTAAATTAATTAAACTAATACATAATTTTTAATTTTATACTAAATTTAATTAACTAATAAAGTTATTTAACAAATAAAAAGCTTTGATCATAGTAGTTGGAAGATGATGTAAGAGATGATGAGGAATAAATTTTTTTTTTTTCAAAGATTTTTAATGTTTTTGTACACCTTAAAGCATTTGCATAGTTATTTGATTTCAATTTATATTCTTTTAATTTTATTAAATAATATATCATGTTTTAATTAAGTGTTATTTTTACTTGTTTGTTACTACCATTAACATTAAACGATTGTTAATTTAAATTAAAAAAATTCCTTCGTTTAGCGACGGATTTGCAAGAAACTTTAGCAAGAACAATTTAGCAACGAAATTTTCGTCTTTAAATAGCAATAGTTTGGCCACAAATAAGAGACCGGGTAGATGATCTGTTTACTACGTTTTAACGATGGAAGCTATAACAATCATTAAATAGTGATGGATTCAGCGACAAATCTACAAGAAACTTTAACAAGAACAATTTGGCAATGGAATTTTTATTTGATAAATAGTAACAAAAATAGTCAATTAGCAACGATTTTATGAAAAGTGCAAGATCAAGTAGATGACTGCTTATTATGTTCTAGTGATGAAAATTCTATGCATTAGCAATAATTTTTTTTCATCGCAAAGAAAATAGCGATCATGACTTTTGCTATAGAACTTATGTTCTTGCAAATCCATTGTTAAGTACAAATAACAATGGATTTTTACTATATAGCGATGAAAAAATTCATCATTATTTTCTGATTTTCTTGTGGTATTTAAATATCATGAATTAATTTGATTGGATTTATTGGGGGATTTCATACGGAAACTACACATCTAAATTTTGATAAGATGTTTTCATACGGAATCCACGCGTCTAAATTTTGATAAGATGTTTGGAACATAATGCTTAAAAAAAATTAAAATTACTCTTTTTTATATATGTTTTGTATACTTAATATGATGGTTCGCCATCTTGAAACCATAGTGGAAACAAAAATGGAAGTGTCATTGACAAGAAAAAGTTGGCTGGCCTCTGTCTAATTCTTCGAAATAAGTCCTTGAAACTGAAGAAAACAAAGCAATTAAACTCATTATTGTCTGCATACGTTACTGTGTCAGTGGCCTTGAATAGGATATGTTTGCCTTTGCATATATGGCAAAATGCATTGATGGTGAGTCGGATCATAAGTACCCTAACAAGACAATATATGCTCAAATGTGCTGCCTCTAGCTAAAAAAAAATCAGTTTGGAAACTTATGCTAAATTCTTCAATAGTACGTTTTTTCTTTTTTTTCAGAGGTGAGCTGTTCTACGAAAGGAAAACCTTGCTAGCAAGCTAGACAGATACCAATCACATAATGCCTCTATTTTTCAATGATTTTATAATGAAATGTATTTTTTTCTTCAACCTTATGAGGTTATTTTTTACGCATCTCAAAAATAATTTTTTTTAAATGTAATTAAAAAATACTCTTTAACATAAAATAAATTATCAAAAATACTGATAAGAAGAATCAAATCCTAAAATTCATCCACAAATCAACATTTGTTCACCAAAAAGCTACCGCCTTAAGATTAATAACTATGACACATGTTTTATAAGATGTTGACTTAATAATTAAGAAAGTTTTTTTTTTTTTTGTTTTACTTTCTTCGCTTAACTTTGCATCAAATATAATTTATTATTCAGATAAAAAAATTATTTTAATTAATGTGCAAACCCATTCGAAATTATAATATGTTTTTAAAAAATATTTAAACAAATATAACAATTAAATAATTACCACCCAAATGTAACAAAAAAGCTAGAGAGACATCCACACATGGAACGGAATAGTTGAAACTATTATTATCCAGATAGCAAGAGAGGAGTGAAAGCAAACAATAATGGGTGCCCAAATCACATCTTCAAAATTTTTGGACATATTTGAACATAGCTTTCCTATTTAATAAGAGCTTGGAGTGCTTGTCCTACAGCAAACAACATATAGAAAAGAGAGAGAGAAGATAGAGAGAGTTAGAGAGAGATGGCAGCAGCCAAGGTCGAAATCCCATTTCTTGATTTCTCTGCAAAAGCTTTGACAGGCTTAGAGGTTAAGAGTGAAAAGTGGAAAGAATTGTGCAATCAAGTTAGAGAGGCATGTGAGACTCATGGAGTCTTCTTTTTGGTTTATGACAAGATCCCTACCAGCCTACGTGAAGAAATGTTTGGCGCCATGAAGGCACTGTTTGATCTTCCTGAGGAGACTAAGAACAAGCATGTTACTACTAAGCCATATGGAAGTTACTCAGGTAAGTGTCCTGTAATTCCTTTCCATGAAAGCTTTGGTGTTGATGATGCTCCAACTCTCGACGCTTCTCAAGCTTTTACCACCCTTATGTGGCCAGAAGGGAACCCAAGTTTCTGGTAAGGCTACTTTCCTGCTTCCACCATCTTTCTTGATGTTTTCTTCTTTTTCATGTTAATTTTTTTGGGTTGATTTAGTATTGTTTGATATTGTTTGTGCAAATGATTGAATTTCTCTTGAAAATTATGCTACTTTTTTCAGATTTTTGGTTATAAACCATCAGTTGTAGCCGCAACAAAAATTGTATTATGGAATTAATTAAAAGAAATGTAATGGCTTCATAGCATGCAATTAAAGTCAAAGTTTGCTCACTGTTTTAACTTAATTGATTTGATAATCAGTAGTATCATCATTTTCCCATCAATCTTACCCTTTAATTCCTTGTTCCTTATCATGACGCGCACACAAAAAAGAAATTGCCCCACTTCTTCAATTAATTTCTTGCAAAGCCAGCTTTCAGGCAGTTAACTTCTTTTCTTCGTTAGGATATTCCAGCTGTTCTTCCTCGTCTGATCTCTAACGTGTAATAATGTCATGGCCAAAGACCCCCGGTCACTATCAACAGAAATTGACAAGGAAAAAGAAAAAAAAAACACAAATATAAGAAGAGTGTACAGCTATCGTAGTATTTGATAGGATCTTACAGTAGCCTGTAGAAACTATGAAATGGTGGTTTTTAGGTCTTGTCACATCAGTAGCTATACTTATTACTTACACATGATAATGGCTGCTACCAAACAAGCTTGCTAGTTGCCTACGCACAATTTAATAGGGGCTTATCCTTTGAAACAGATTGAATTTATTGCAATGCCAGCTTTAAAATGATTGTTCTAATTCAAACCTCACGCACATGTCCTAGCAGGAAAAAAAAAAAACCCCAAAAATCAGAAATCAGAGAGATAATATATAGAAGAATCAGCTTTTCTATAACTGTTGGCAGTTCCATGAAATTCCTTCTGTTCTTATTACCAGGTGGTGTGTAGTAATGCCACAATCCTGAATTTAATTTGACATCATTCCAAACGGATGATTCTATTTCATCAGCCCTTGGAACTGTAAATTTAGGACCACATAGTAGCATAATCTAACGGTTGAGGTTTGTCGTAGGCAATCCTGACTGCTTCCGTTGTCTAAAATGTGTGTGAGTCATTTACAGTACAAATCGAACGCAACCATCAATTTTTATTTTGCTGCTCCAAAGTCAACACCACTTTTTTCTTTTTTCTTTTTTTAATGACTGATCTCAAAATCTGCCGCATAATCCTGTTCGTGTTGAAGCTGTGGTATAAAACAAAAACAATATTATGCATGAAGTGTGCCTAATAGGATACGGCTGGCAGCATTAATTAATTAATGTTTCATTTTTTTTTATTTTTTTGGTACAGTGAGACCATCCATAGCATGAGCTCGAAGATGCAAGAGCTGAGTTTTCTGGTGACGAAAATGATTTATGAAAGTTTTGGCATAGAAAAGCCGTACGACTCTTTCGTGGAGGAAACCGCTAGTGTCTTTCGGGTGATGAAGTATAAAGTCCCTCCGAGCGGTACTGAATCAGGCATTGGTCTAGTGGCTCACACTGACAAAAACGCCATCACCATTTTATGCCAAAATGAAGTTCAAGGTCTCGAGGTTCGGACCAAGAACGGAGACTGGGCTCAGGTCATGGTTCCTGAAAATGCTTTCGTAGCTGTTGTTGGGGATACACTCAAGGTAAATAAAAAATGGATCAAATTTCCTGTTTTTTTCAATCAATTCTCAAACGGTAAGCTAATTATGAAGTGATTATTGGTTTTGTAGGCATGGAGCAATGGGAGACTTCATGCAGTGAGGCATAGGGTGGTGATCAGCGGGGATAAAGACAGGTATTCCTGTGGGCTATTTTCAATGCCGAAGGAGGAAGCAGTAATTGAGGTGCCAAATGAACTTGTGGACAAAGAGCATCCTCTTCAGTACAGGCCATTTAATTATTCAGATTATATCACCTACTTTGTTTCCAAATTAAGCGATGATGCGTTGGAGATATATGCTGGCATTTGAAGACTTTGTTGGCCTATATAAGCACTCCTCTTATAATTAATACCCCCATCGATCTTCATGTTCCTGCTTCTAATCCACTTCATTTCTTTACGATTAATATTATTGTCTTTGGACTTCTCAATGTGCATGCAAATGTTTAAGAAAACTGAACAAAACTTGCCTACTTCCTATCAAGGCAATCTGTAATAATTTTTCTTTCTTCTTTTTAATATACAGCATTTCATACCATTTGCAATTTCTTCTTCTTCTTCTTCTTCTTCTTCTTGTGTAGTTCTAATATTCGGACAACTTTTTGATGTTTTTGTATGTTAATCTTTAGTTTGAAAAGTAAAATAATTACATATAAAATGAAGATCAATTTAACCGTTTAAATTAATCTTATCTCTCTCTGTATAAAAAAAATTATCTCTCTCTGTATAAAAAAAAATATAAGACTTTTGCTATCAGCAACCGTTTAAATTCAATACAATTTCAAAAACTAAAACCTACCAATTAGCTGTTTCAAAACTCTCTCCATCAGCCACCGTAAAACCACCAACATTTCACGTTTTCCATTTGAAACTCCTCCACGGATGGTAAATGCATCATCTCTTGCCATTTTCTTTGTCACCTCTCCTCCATCTTCTCCTCCAACAACATTCTCCATTGACCATCTCTAGCTCATCAACTTAAGCTCTTGTTATTGTTCAAAATAATATTTCCGATCGAAAAGATTTGCTTTTGGCACCTATGTTATTGTTGGTGTCATTTTGATGATTTAAAGTCAAAATGGGGCAACTCTGGTTTTTTTTTTCAAATTCTGGTTTCATGATCATATGTTTTGACAAGTACAAAAGAGATCAAATTTTTTGTTATAATATGCATAAAGAGATCATCATAATCATTGTCAATTGTTATCATGTACTTTATTGCTTCAGCATTATTTTCTTTTTCAAGATTAAAACGATTTTTTTTTTTTTTGAACTATAGATTAAAATGATTGGTGCCTAATGGATTCTTATGATATTAAAATTAACGGGTTAGTTTGGAGATTTTAACTCCTTTTTTTCTCTATTATTTCTCTGCTCTTTATTTTTCCATTCTTGAAATATTTTAGAAATGAATTTCATTTTTCAGGCCATTTTTGGTTTTAAAAATTGAAGATGGAGGTATGTGTTTGTAAACAAAATGTATAAAGGGACTCAGCCCATCAAATTAATAGTCTAGGGACTCAATTAAACAAATGGCCACAGTATAGGGACACCAAATGCAATTAACCCTTCAAAGTAGAGCGAATTTCCTTGGTAATGATAGTTGTTTGACTTTTTGCAAATTGGTTAGTGGACGTTACGCATTCTCTGACTTTTAAAAGAGCTGAGGTCTGTCCTCGCCTTTTTCATAGCGAAGTGTGAAACTGATGAAAGGACGAGAGAGAAGGATAGAACAAAAAGTACAGAGCTGAAAATCAATAAAAAGCACGTCCATACCGTTTTCTGTGTATAGCCTCATTATCATATGATGCTCTCGCAAAAACTTGTGGGCCCAACTAAATACTCGTAGAAATTAAACTCTACATCTATGACGCGACATCCGAAAATGAGTTTGGAGGTAACAGAGACCTACCCGAATGATTCTCAGACGACCTAATGAGACTCTTTATAGACAGTTAGCCAACAATCAAGAAACTTGTGTCAATTTTCCATCAATTAAGAGAATAAAAAGTACATTTAAAAAAAAAATTATTAAAATTATTTTTTTTTCAATCGGGTTTTGTTTATTCAATAATAATTCATTAGCAATTAAAATGATAGTTATAAAAATAATAGGTAATTCTTTTGGGAGGAGTGATAAAGTATATTTTATTGGAAAGAAGCCTTAAATTTAATAATATGTTAAAAAAAACATAAAATTTAGGACTGAAATGAAAACTTTGTCATACTTTGAGGGCGCCACAGCTCCCCAGCCTTGCTTGAGTTCCGTCCCTAGATTCCACCTCGCCTCACCATCAAAAGAGAAAAAGAAAAAACTGCTATCATTTGTGCTAATCCATAAATAATTCCAAATGAAAAAAAAAAAAAAAAAAACCTCTCATATGTTCTCACATATTACTGTAATAATCATAACTACTGGTTATAGCCAATGAAATTGTAGCTCAACTCACACACACATATATATATTAAAAAAATTGAAATAAAAAATCTCATTTATATATTTTTTTAATAATTACATATTGTTGTACTGATGATTTAACAGAGATGCAACTCACATGAGTCGTCACATGCTTCATATAGGGCTAAGCATTGAGTTCATGATGACATGCATGTTTTAGCGGACTACCATTAACTTGCCTTGGTTTCATCTTTTATTCTATAAAAAATCCTAATTTAGCCATTCCAATGTTATGAGATTTGAATTAAAAAATTTATTCTTGCTTTTGTAATTTTCTTCATTATTCTTTTTATTTATTTTATGATGTGTGATCGAAGTAACATCTATGTTTCCAAACTAAATTCTCTTTCCCATCAACTTTACGCTGTCATGGATGAAAAAAAAAGGTATCTAGAAAAGTGCTACGCATAGCTAGGTTAGTGACCTGTCATGTTGTGTTTCGTGGCGATGGCTCTTAATTTCTTGAATTTGTCTTAATCATAGTGACTAGGAGAGCATGCTGGATCGGCTTCTGCAAATTAGTCAATTGAGTTAGCATAACACTACCCTAGATAAAGACATTGCATGCGATTTTTTTTACTTATAGAGACGGTTATAATCATTTTTATAAAATATAGAGGCAATTTTAAAAGGATCATCCCAAGACCGCTTGTAATGCCACCATCTCTATGGTGTAAGGACGGTTTTGACAACTGTTGGGGATTTCGAGGCGGTTTGTTACCGTCTCAAAAATTTTTTTGAGGCGGTTCAAACCACCTCTACGATACAAATTTTATCATCTCGTTTTTTTTAGGGTAATTGTTGTAGCGGTTGAGAATCGCCTCTACATTGTCGAATTTTTTAAAAATCCATGAGAAATAGTTGAGGCGGTTGCAACCGCCTCAAGGTTAAAATTTGTAGTGGTCGTTGCAATCGTCCCAAGATTAGAATTTATAGAAGTGGTTTGAACCGCCTCAAGATTAGAATTCGTAGAGGCGGTTCAAACCGCCCCAAATTATATAATTTATAAAATTAATTTCAAAATTCATAGAAACAAATTTTATAATTCATAAAGATGGTTGTTTAACTTTCGCCTTCGAATTTAATTATTGAATGTAAAAAAAAAAATTATATAGCTACCACAATATTCTTAAATTTATAATTATCAAATTCTAAATACATAAAAAGTCGTCAAACATTCATAATATTCTTAAACACTCGATATCGAGCAACGATCAACGATAACCACTCTGCTTCTTCCCGATCATCACCGGGAACTTCGACTCTTCCATAAAAGGCTTCCGAGCATATCACGAAGCTTCCAATCGTGGCATATAAGAAAAGTTGTTAACAAGCAAAACCATAAAAATGAATGAGACATAAGAGAGATAAGAGTTTAAAATATCATCGAGCAACTCTACATTGAAGCTCAGCGAGATCTTGTTGAATCACTGCTGAAATGTCATCACTCGCCTTTTTCTTGACTTTCGGTTTCCTCAAGGATGAGGTAATGTCCCACAGTCCATCCCCTAGGTTACAAATAAATATTTAACCCAATCACATAAAACTAAATCCAAAATTTTGCGTACATTAGGGGTGTATTTCGACTAGTGATTTTGAAATCCATCATAATCTCTTTGTGCTTGAAATGAAACTCGGTATACTTGGCTCAATGGACTTGCTTTCAAATGCAGCATTTCTAGAAATTTGCCTCCTACCCGAGAAACTTGAACAAATGCAATAAACCAAAGCACAACAACTCTTCGAGTGTTACATATGATATAAATAAAGGTCGGTTCAACTTCAATCAAAGAACACTTAAAATCTTGCATGTTGAATCAACATATAGAAACTAAAATGATTTTCATCTTTTTCCCCACCTATTGGCTTAATAACCCATTCACACACAAAAGAATGTTAGTTCCTCCAAGGCATCGGAATCATGTGTTGGAGGCCATAATTCTTAAGAAGGAAGCAAGAATTCCCAAGCACACATAACCAAGGTAATACGTGACCCGTTGTGCAAGTCTCACATTGCACATGATAGATTACTAGGCAAAAAGAGCAACATGAAGAGCATACTTTTGACGTGATAGACAGAACCAAATGAAGTAATATGATGCTACCAAAAAGAACTAAATGAAGTACACATGCCGCAACCAAAAGGAAAGGGAAGGATTTAAATGTATCGACAAGTTCAACAACGGGGTCATTCCTCCATGTATACAGAGATTTATTTTAGCAATCCAACATGTTTTCTTACGGACAGTAGAGACACATACAAATTAAAAAAGATGTGTGCAAAGTTGTTCTCTACCTTTTCAGCAATAATAGTCTCTACTGAATCAAGATCTAGTTATTCAAATTTCACCCATTCATCAAGCCTCCTATTAACTCGTCAAAGAGTTGAAAAAAAATAGACTTGAATAAATACAACTTCCAAAATCATTGCGGTGCGTGGTTAATAATCATGTAGAAAATTACAAAGTGATCACTTCAAATAATTAATCATCATAATAATATTTACATAGATGGGATGCTAATCACCCCAAATCGTTGCACATCTTAATTTTTTTCAGCATAATACTCTAATACCGAGCACAAAATTTTTATTGTTCCAGTTTTTCTATAGAATTAGGTGACACAATTCTATCCTTAGATGTGAAAGCAATAAGACCTTGAACATGCACCCCGAAGAACTCAAGTGAAAAAAGCTAGAATTTTCCACCTTGCATAAAAGTCACAATATCATCCTATAATGTATAAAAAATCTCTTCTATTGCAGGTCGGCATACTATCATGCTCTTAGTACAAAATTGCACAATCTAATATCCACATAATAACTATAAATCCCTCAAAGTGCTACTCCCGAATTTAACATTAAACTAGTACAAGCTTATATACTATAAACTATACTTGAAAAGCAAGCGGAGACATTGGCGAACCAAAGCACATTATATCGGATGAAATTGCTAATTAGGAGAAGCAATTGAAAACTTCAAAGTCAAAATAAGAACAAAATAGTTAGCATATTACATTGAAAATTTAAAGGTAATTAGAAAAGAAAAGAGCGAGTAATCTAATTGATTGGCCATAAAATTAATTTAGCATACTTACCATTAGAGAAGGACGAAGCAAAGGAGAATAACAAACAAGCAAATGAGAAGAACAAACAAGCGAGAGGAGAAGAAACATGAAGCGAGAAGAGAAGAAAAACCCAAAGAGGAGAGGGATAATTACCATTAGAAGCTTTAGAGTTTATAAATTTGCTACCACACTCAGGGGCCTCTGCCAGCTCTGTCTAGTCCACCCACCGAACATTAATTCGAGGTTTCGGAATAGCGATGTTAAAATGAGAGTATAGCAAGGTAATCGAGGCGAAGTAGGAGAGAAACAAAGTCATATACGCAAAATTATAATCCTTTTTCCTGTTCACATAATCAATCTCGGTAAAGACTTCTATTAGTTTGTTCACATAATCAATCTAAGTTTGTAAATAAAAAGACTATCAACCTTGGTAGCAATTACATTGAGAAAACGAGTCTTTTGATTTATTTTCTACTCCAAAACACTAAAAATGAAAAATAATGATTACATTGAGAAATATTTGTTAAAGAAAGAGAAAAAGGTGATGTTAAGAACCTTGGTAGTGATTCTCATGGGTGGCACCATAAACCAACTCGGTGCAAACTTTCTCAAGGTTTTTGACATTCTTGGAGGAAAGGGTGATATTGATCTCGTGAATCGCTACTCGGGTCTCCTCTAAACCAAGCTTTTGCTGCCACTTTCTCCTTTTGCTAAGAGAATTGGAGAAACAAGGACGACGTTCCGCTTGGAGCGAGGGAGCCATGAAAAAAGAGGATCCGTTGCTTGTCAAGGCAAGGATTTGGATCTTGGAGATGGTGAATGAGAGAGATATGCTGCTTGCCGAGACGTGGATTTGGATCTTAAAGAAAAAACTTAGAAGTTGAGGAGGGGGCGGGATAGCGAACGGTTCTTTCTAAAAAAAAACAAAACAAAAGAAGGTTTGCTATCGAGGCGGTTTATAAAACCACCTCATTTTTTTTTTTTTGTTTATAGGCTATGTAAATTAAAAGTTATTAAATTTTGAGGTAGTTTCATTGACTTCCCCAAACATTCCGCCTCCATAGGCCTTTTTTGGTGTCGTGTAAGGAGAAGTCATGGATAAATGGAAAAAATTAACAAAACAAACCAAAAAAAGTGGGTAGTTTAGTACTTTTCATTGTAATCCATGGAAATTATAAACATTACGAGTTGATTGCTACTAGTTGTTTCATCTTTATTTTTCTTCTTAGTCGTTGGATTTTCTTTATTAGATAAAGATAATTAGTTTTTTTTTATCCGTGTTATGCTAGGAGTTGGATAAAATATATAAAATTCTTTAGAAAAATTATTTTAGTTTGATAGTCTGTTTTATGGTGTAAATCTATAAAAATATATGAAATTAAAAATGAAAAAAGTTATTTATAATTTTTTAATCAAAAATTTTGCATTTAACTATTTTTATTTATGTTTTTCATAATTTTTTCTTTTAAAAAAGGATTTATCCTTGTTAATCTATGGATTATTAACTAAAAAGAAAATTAAATAATTTTTTAAATACTTTATTATTTCATAAGATTGTTTCAAAAAAAAAATTATTAAAAGCTTACATAGAATTGAACAAATACTTTTTCTTATTTTTCTTTAATGTTGATGAGAATATTGGTTTTTGAAAAAAATGTGAACTTAATTTTTATATATTTATTTACAAAAGAATGAATAATATTAAAATAAAAAACTATATTAATTTGAATCATTGAGTGGTTAAGCTAAAACATAATTTTAATTATTTAATTTAAAATAAGTTAATTTTAAAATGTTCAAAAATAAATAAATAAATAGTAAATTCATAGTGTGATAGTTGCATAGTTAATTTATAAAAAAAACAATGATTCAATATTTTATACTAAGTGAGTTTAGAGTTTTTAGTCTTAAACAAAAAGTACTGTAAAAAAAAATTAAGTTGTAAGAAATCTATTAACTAAATTTGAAGTTAATAGACTAAAACAAAAATTATTACAAATTCAATTTCAATTAATTTTGATTATATAAAGAAGAAACAAATTAATAAAACATGTGAATTCTTTTTTTTTTCCTCCTTCTTAAATAATTTTTTTATTTCTATGCTATCCATGGCTAGTCTTTGAATACGAGTCTCACGCTGCAGAGCAACCATCGTCTTTTTGTTTTTCACATTTTACTTTCAACTATTAATTAACTAATTTGATTTTTTTTTCTAAGCAAAATGAGAAAAAACTATTTGAAATACACTTTTAATCTCAAAATATATTTCAAACAAATTATATTTATATTATCATCTAACTATAATTTAAAAATTATCTAAATCTATTTTTCAAAAGAAAAAATAATCCTATTCTAAAAATTTATTCCAAAATCCATACATATAGAAAAATAAATCAAAATTATCAGTAAATATAATTTTAAATTAATTGGATGAGAATTTAAAAAAATGACAAATTAAAGTAGTAAATTTAAAATGATAAAAATAATTAAAAAAATACTAAAATAAAATGGGACCAAATCACAATACAATTAAAGTTTGAAATTGGAAAAAAAAAATGGATAGACAAATTGAGAAGCATATAATTTTAAATAATAAAAATAATTAACAAAAAATACTAAAACAAAATGAGACCGAATCATAATACAATTAAAGTTTGAAATTAAAAACAAAAAATATAAAAAAATTGAAGACTAAAAATGTATTTTAGATAAATTATAAATATTAATCATGCCACCATAATTTAAAAATTATCTAAATCTATTTTTCAAAAGAAAAAATAATCATGTTCTAAAAATTTATTCCAAAATCCATACATATAGAAAAATAAAGAAAAAATGTCAGTAAATATAATTTTAAATTAATTGAATGAGAATTTAAAAAAATGACAAATTAAAGTAGTAAATTTTAAATAATAAAAATAATTAACAAAAAAAACTAAAATAAACTGGGACCAAATGACAATACAATTAAAGTTTGAAATTGAAAAAAAAATAGATAGACAAATTGAGAAGCATATAATTTTAAATTAATTTGATGCGAAATTTTTTTAAAAAATGACAAATTAAAGTAATAAATTTTAAATAATAAAAATAATTAACAAAAAACGAGTAAAACAAAATGGGACCAAATCATAATATAATTAAAGTTTGAAATCGAAAAGAAGAAGAGAATTTAAAAAAAAGATAAATTAAAGTAATAAATCTTAAATAATAAAAATAATTAATGAAAAATATTAAAAAAAAGGGGACCAAATCATAATACAGTTAAAGTTTAAAATTGTAAAAAAAAAGATATAGAAAATTTGAGGACCAAAGTGTTACAAAATTGTTATGAATAGTGAAAGGAATAATGATTTTGTAAGTGTGTAAACCATGTGTTCAAATAATGAATGAATAATAAAACTAATTATTTTACTTTAGTTTTATGTATAATGTAATCTCTACACTTAATAGCTGATCGTCATGTTTTCAATCTTATATCTAAATATTTACACCCGTCAAAACTTAGAGTGTTATCCTGTTTTTCACATTGGCAATCTTTTTCTCTTTCTTGTAAATCAAATACTTCTTAAAATGTATGAAATAATGATATATATTATGAAAGTTCTAAACACAAGACACATATCATTATTTTATAACTTTATGTATGTCTAATATGAACTGAGATTAGCCAACATAACAACATGACTCAATTGCAAACTAAAAAAATCATTAGGGATCCAAATAAAAAAAAGTTAGAATTATTTTTTTACAATAATTTAGAGTATTTTATAACCAATTAGCCTAAAGCAAATGCAGTACTGCGGTATTGCAAAGCCTATGCAATGTACGAAAATTCTTGCTCTGATAACGATGCAGATATCTGCCAAGAATTGAAGGTTATCGTTGGCTCAAAGCCTTGCTACAGTTGATTCTTTGAAGAAGAAAAAAAATACATTAGCTAGTTAACTGATCCACAATCCACGGTTCTGGACAAGTACAGTTTTAGCCCCATCGCCATATATAATTCAAAACATGTAGCCTTGGCATGCCTCATCTTTTTTTATTATTATTATTATTTTATTTTTACAAAAACCATAACAATTCATATGAGTAAATTATAAATCAGTCCCTCTAGTAATCCCTATTTTTGTTGTCTACTATTATTTAACGAAACCTTAATTTAAGTCCGAATTTATATACCTATTCTCAATTACAAAATATTATTAATCCAATTCCAAAAGTTTCTTACGTTTCTTAATTGCATCCGTTAGTCAATTTCATTTAACACTCGAATTCTAATGTGCATGTTTTATGAGCTAAAAATTGATCCAAACCCACATACGGTGTGTATACACTTGTATATTATGGTTTTATTCGATTCAATGTATAAAAATTATTAATTTAGCAAAATCATACTCAAACAATTGAAATTGAAAATGCACATATTTAACTAATCAAATTGAAAACACATGAGCTTATCTGATGGACTTATTAAAATAAAGTGTGCAAATAGTGGGTTTAGCTTAAATATTTTCAAATCAAAATTCGCACATCCACTGTGTCTAATTTTTTAACCCTAATATGCATGCTTACTAAAAGGGACAGCAATGGGTACGGTTAAAGTGGGATTTTTATGCACCCGCACTCAACTCAGGAACCACGCACCCATCACCCAAACTTGATCGGGTCTAGTTGGGTCTTTTTTAGGGATGGCAATGGTGCGATCCCCGTCCCTGCCCCACGCCTGAAAAATTTTCTCCGTTCTCGTCTCGTGTCTTGAACGAGGTAAAATTTTTCGTACCATCTCCGTCTCAAACATGACGGGGATCCCAATGGGACAAACAAGGCAAAATTTTTTTATATATATATTTTCGTCTCATTTTATTCAATTCTACTATTAAATTTTAACTTATAGCAAAAAAAAAAAAAAATGATAATTTATATAGAAAATAAACCCTAAAAGTCACCGATTATAAATTTTATATAAGGTATAATTATAATTTTAATGAAAAAAAAGAAATGGGGCAAATGGGGTGGGGTAGGCAAATCCCATCCCCGCCTTGTTCCTCGATTAACGCGGGGAATCCCTGCATTGATCGGGGAAAATTGACGTGGGGCGGAGCAAATTGCCATTCCTAGTCTTTTTCATCTATCAAGCAACTATTGGATATGCAACTTAATTCAGTTTTTTTTTTTTTTCCTTTCTGTATATATATATATATATATATATATATATAGTCTCTTTTAAAATTTCTTGTAACACCACACAAAATCACATCTTAAATTTTTTTCACATAGAGTTTTGCATACTCAATATTCTTATTTTTGTAAATCAAGTTTAAAATATCAATACGATTAAAAAATATAAAGTTATGTCATTAAACATCACTAGTGATATGCATGCATGTACTGATTAGTAAATTATTAGTAATTAGTACGATTACATATACAAATTATTTAAGACATCATTTATTTTTAAACATCATGTATAATGTATTAAATTATGTACTTATTATTTGTTAATATTATTTATAATAAATATTTTAAAAAAATATACATCAACTAAGTAACTTATATCATATACTCCTTAGTACTTGATAATAGATATTAAATGACACTAAGAGACATGAACATATTAACATAATAATTTATATATTGTTAACTAATAATAATAATAATTAGTTATCATTATTATCATGCGTTCATAATTATAAATTAAACTTAAATTATAAAGTAAAGTTAGAAACTTAAATTGATTTTTATAGGATATTGTAATTTATATATGTTAAGAAAATTAAAAAAATATTTTTGTTATTTAGAAAATAAAATTTAGTTAAAAAGTTTTATAGAGATCATAATAATTATACATGCTAATAAAAAATTTAACAAAATATAATTAAAAATATTGAATCGATCATCAGACAGATGAATCCTCTGCCTGCTTCGTAACCGGACACAAGTAAAACTGGATTTATTTTTACCCGATTTTCTTTGATCCTAATCAAATCGGGTTTAAAACCCAATCCAATCGGATGATGTGATGTTGGATATATCCGATGATCGGGTGAAATTGCCATCTTTACTCGGTATTCAGTAAGTTGGTTCTCGAAGAGAATTCTCCGAGTGGACCTCTTGGGCTGAACACAGGAATCTCATAATACAAATAGAACTGGCGCTTGGCCGTAGGCCTTAACTTGATCGAATTAATAGAAGTGGGCTTTTAAGGATCCAATAGTAACATTTTGGACTTTGGAGAACGAGCCCATAAACAAAACTACTGCTCATCAAGCTCCAACTAACTAATAGTCGATATATTAATTGCACATTTGGTCTCTATATTCTTTAAATTATATTAATATGGCCTTTATACTATGTTTCTTATTTATTTGATCCCTCATCTCAAGAAAATTTCTTAACATAATCTCTACATCCAATTTATCATTAATTTTTGAAACGTGTAATAATAGTTTCTAGAGAATTTTCCATTTTCTGACATTTCCTTAACGTTAAGATTAATGGAAGTTGGATAGAGGGATCATATAAGAAAAATGTCTAGAGTTGAGGGATAACTATATAAAAAAGAGTAAAGAGTCACATTAAGGAAAAGTCAAGAGTAAAGGGACCAAATAAATTATTAATCCAACAACCGAAACTCTTCAATTTTCCGTACTCATCATCTGATGTTCGCTGGCCCATATCCTCTTCGATCTTCTCATAATCGAAGAAACCTTGAAAAAATAAAGTGATTTTCTCATACAAATGCAACAACAACAGCAACAGGATGGTGATACTAATAAGGTCACACGATTTGAAGAGGAGGAGTTACAAAATGCAAGAGCTTCAGTAGAAACACTGACTGCCAGTTTGGAAAATCTGGTTTGCAAATTATTTATTAAACGTATAGAATTAAACGGATTTTTTTTTCTTTTGGTGGGTTATTAATTTTGGGTTGTTAAATTTGGTGGGTTCTTGTTAGAATCAAAGAAAAGCTGATGTTTTGAGCAATTTGGAACAATTGAGAGAAAGAAACAATAAAGAAGGTGGTGCTACTAATACTGGGGTGCAGAAATTAGTCCCTCTTTTGAAGTCATTAAAGGTAATAAAACACAAAAGTTAACTAGTCCCGTTTGGTTTTTAAGGTGATAATGGTGAATGTTGAGAACAGTTCTTTCCTTTTTTTTTTTTTTTTGTTTTGTTTTGTTTCTATAGGATTTGGAATTGCAAGAATCTGTTTTGCAATCTGATTGCGATGCGAAACGAACTGAGTTGGAAGCTGAAGCGTGTGCATTGGAGGAGAAAATAGCTGCTGGTATGGACAGTGAGGGTTTATGTGAGGATTTAGATTGTTTATTGAGCGAGTCATTGAAGAAACTTAACGCAGCAAAGAAGGTATAAAATAATAAGTTGCTCTTTGTGCTGATGTTTAGTTCGTTTATTCTGTTTGGCAATTTGAGTTGATTTGCAGTTAACGTTAAATTCTTTAGAGATGGCGATGTGGTGTTTTGTTTTGTTAGGAATTAGCAGCTAGATTGAGGGCAGTGACGTCTGTAAAGCGGAAGCTTGGGGAAGTGCCAACACAATCAGAACTTATCCAGTATGGTGATTCATTTTTCTTCTGTATTTTTAACTTTTCTTGTCTATTCTAATTATCCCGTTAACATTTTATCTATATCTAGTACACATAAGGTTTCTAAAACTTGGAGCAAGTAAAATACTATTGATGCTGAAATTCCATGGAGTTTTTTTAATCATGTCTCACATGAGCATTTCCTTCACATAAATTCTTAGAACTTGGTTGCAGTTATTACTGGTGCTCCTATGAGCTTTGGCAAAAGTCAGTTGTAATTTGATACTCTTTAATTTAGTGATCATGGTAAAGCATAATCGACCATTTACTAATGTTGACTGCACAAACACCCCCCACACCCAAAACCAATTATCACATTCCATTAAAGCCGACGCATTGAGGTGATGACATCTCTCAACTTGTCTTCAGGCCATTTCATTTTGTCTTACATTATAGTGTTGACTGGAAATTGATGCTAGCGTTCATCCATAGAGGCACATTTATTTCTCAATGTTTGCAGTGAATGCTTTGTCTCTAATTTTCTCCTTTGCCCTCAATCTATGCTTCTTCTATCTGTTTCTTATTGACAACAGATCTTGTTATCCAGGCAGTTAGCCTCCTGTTGGGATGCTGAGCTTTAATTTATAAGCTGTCTCTTTCGAATATGAATTTCTATTGTATTGCTAGACTTCCATCTTATCATTATGGCTGCAATAAATGCCTTTCCTGAATATGTTGTTCCAAAATTTTCCACTTTCTAAGTTTGAGTATGGCTATACATCTGTCATTCCACATGTGAACATAATTGCTACTATTCGATATAGCGAATGTTGCTGTCTAGTTAAACTTTGTAATGTTTGGCATTGTTTGACCCCTGATCCAATGCTTTTGTTTCAGGTATGAACGCGGGTTCTCAGATTTGAATGCTCATATCCAGGTTTAAAATTCTGTGTGCAGGTTTATTGGCACTTGAAATTTGTGTGGGATCTATCTTCAGTCAGTTTCTTTAATCATGTGTCATTTGTTTGCTAATGTACAGGAAAAACATCGACTAACCCGCAAATATTATGCCACCTATAATGCTCTCTTGGAGATTAAAGAATTGATGCTAAAGGAAACTTCTTTATTGAATTCAATAAGTTCACAGGTATTCTCAGACAACTTAAAATCTGCATCATCTTGCATCATCAGTGTATTTTTCTTTGAAATCAGTTCTACTAACAAATGAATTTATGATGCACTTTGACTAACTCTCTTTAATTTGAGTCATTTGGGATTTGGTTTTTCTTGCTATAACAAAGTGACACATGACTAAGATTATCTGATGGATGACTGGAATGTTATTGTGCTGTGATATGATGTCTAAGTAACATAGACTGATGCTTATAAGTTCCCTTAAAATGCATTTACCTCACTTCTGGTGTTCATTCAATGAAAGCCCACATTATGATTATTTGCTATGTTGTTAAACTTATGATTACCGAGTGTATGCATATAACATATGTAATCACATCCACACATCATGATCATTTAATTTCAACAATGTTGACTTGCTTTGCATGTTAAATTTACAGTTTCAGGTTGCCATTACAAGTACCGATGGTCGAACGAAACTGATTGATTCCATGGAAGGTATTGTCAAGGGCAGCCAACAGGTAATTGGAAGCTTTTCTTACATATGAACTTAAGTAAAGTGAATTGAGAGTTCATTACTTTCTTGTAAGGATCAAAGGGTCTAGGTGCTTGACATAGCGGAACAGAAGGCTAAGGTCTATAAAGTGTATTTTGATATGCCTGCCTATTCTATTTGTTGCTCAAGAGAGAATCTTCCTCAAACTAGTTTATTGATATCACTAACCCTAGTAGATTGGTAGAGAAATGCAGTTTTCGCCTACTTTTTTAAGTTTTTGGATGTATTTTCATTTTCCGTCTTCAATCCCTGCTCTCTTTTGCATGGTAATGATTTTACTTGTTTGAGGTAGTAATGACCACTGCATCCGTCTATCAGAAATTACAAAAGGTCGAACTTGGGCTTCAGGAAGAGCAGAAGGTTTCTGATGCTCTCAAGAAGAGGTATGCTGCAGCTATGGCAGAGAAAAGGCGCTGCTATTCCCTCTTAAAGGCTTTTCAGGTAAGCACTGCAGTCATTAACCTATGCTAGTCTTAATGGTCATTGTACAGGGGGAAAAAAAAACGCTTACTCTGCAAGAACAAATTTTACAAGCACTTCAATGTGTCTTTCTGATATTAATTCTTGCTGGGTCCTGATGGTCGAGCAAAAAACACCTTTAAGACTTTTACAAGAATGTTACTTAATGTTATACTCCACTATCCTTTCAACTTTACTTTAATGTTGTACATCATTTTTTGTTTCAACTTTGGTGATGGATGAATATGCTGTGGCACCTCGAAGTCTGGATTAGTTTTGGGCAACAAAAAAGTTATTTATTTGTGACGAATTAAGTTAATCATGCAGAAATGCATTAGGTTATTTATAAAGAACTATATAATAGCTGTTGACTGGTTCAGTGGTGAAAGACTTGGACTTGCAACCACAGGGTGCAGGTTCAAGTTTTGAGAACAGCTCCTTCATACAGCTCAAATTTCTCCCTCCTCGGATTCCTTTTAGGTAGGATTTTAACTGGGTAGTGATGCTTGTTAGACGGCACTGTTTATCATTTTTAACAAGAAGAAACAGTATTGTGTTCTGTTTTCGTTCTTCCCAAAAGTGGGAACTAATTTTGTTCACAAGTAAGAACTAATTTTGTTTCAATTTCGTTGCGTCACTGCAAGTGCATGTGGAAATTTTTACTGGACTTGAAACTTGAATCTTTCATTGGGGCATTTTTTTTTCCCTTAAGTTTTTACTGTTTTATTTATTGTGGTAAAACAAACTCTGTTGCTACTTTACCCAATTTACATCATAGAGGTTTTTTATTTCCAGGACGAATGCACAAAGAATGAGAGACTTCGGGGCCAGACTTCTGTTTAAAATGCCGCTGCTGCCTCATCTGTGGTCAAAACGTTTAAGCATCAGTGCATCACTATTCACTCCTGCAATAACACTTACAGTGCTGATCTCTTGGTTCAAAAGGAGAGCAAGATTGCCACTGAAAAATGTAGTTAACTGAAAAATACAAATTCAATTTTTTTTTTCTTTTCCGTTGATTTTCCTTTGTAGGCTATATTATTGTTCTGATTTATAAGGTTGCCTGCTGTGCCCCCATTCTTTTTTTTTTTTTTTCAAAAAATTCACTGGCAGAATAATGATGTCGATCTTATTCCTCAGAGTTTCTTCATACTAGGTAAGTTGACTCAATATTATTGTATGCAGTAAAACCTAACATGATTCATTCAAAAGACCAACAGATTTTTCATCTCATTTATTCTCATAGAGACGAAATCATTTTGTTTGAATTTGAGTATGCATGCGTCCATGCTGCTAGCTTTCCTTGCTGGAATCTGGATGTGGATGTGATGTAATTGTTGAATTAGAGTGTGCAAATGTCATTAAACAGGTATTAGAATCTGTTTCATTTATTTTTTGCCAACCTTTTTGGAGTGATTCAACAGCTCTACTGGGGCAAAAGTAGCATATATCTTGAGCTTGGTACTTGCCACTCTCATGCTTAAAGAATTTTGTATTCAGGATCTGTTTTGTATGCAATTGACATTATCAATGGAGGAAGTGAATAACAGGAATATGTAGGAACCTATATCGCCCAAAAGTATTATGAATATAAATTGCTTTCTGAATGAATAACGTTTATGTGAAGGCTTTGAGCTGGAGAGTTTCTCACCAAGGCTTCATTTGGGCACTTCCTGAACATCAATGTGATAAAGCAGCAGTAGCACCTGGGTCCGAACGTCTCTTTGGCTGGGAGTTTATAACTTCAGGATCTATCACCTTCCTAACTTTTCCCTTTTTTTCTCTTTTTTCTTGGCGCTAAAGTTGAAACATCTCTTGTCGTCTTGGCAAGACAAATTATCCTCACCAGGGCCACCACCAACCTTGTCAGGAGAGAGTAATTTTCATAGATCTTTTCGTTCGAGGGTGAGTGATCTGTTTTATAGAGTGAGTATGCTCCCTACCTTGTCAAGAGTCATTTTCATAAATCTTTTAATTTGAAGATGAATGATCTGTTTTTACTTGAAGCATTAGATGCTCCATTAGGATCATAGATTTACTTTTGGATTTTTCTAACATTTGGACATCATATTTTTTTTTATTGAAATCCATTATTATTATCTTTTTAAACTTGATTGAGGTTTTTTACTCTTCTATATTTTTTGTTTCAGACTATTTGTTACAATGCTGATCGATACGTGACATTATAAAATAAAAAGAATCTCAACAAATAGAAATGATGTATCAATCATTGGTTGATAATGTTATAATGGAGAGTCTGAAGTAAAAAAATTTTAAAAATAAAGAATTTCAATCAAGCTAAAAAGAATAAAAATATTAATTAAAAAATTCAAAAAAATATAAGGTTTAGATATAGTGTAAATTTATTTAGTTTTAATGTAGGAAAGTCGAATTAAAAATAATAAAATACCAATTGATTGTTGTACAAAAAAATCATCCCCCAACCCACCACTAAACCCAAAAATTGAATGTACTAACATATGTAAAAGAATAGAGTCAAATCATTAATATACAAGCTTCCAGTCTACAAGTCTTTTCAGTAATCTAAATAAAATATGGATCTGTTCAAGAATCGCATGCTTCATTTTTGATTCCCATGGAAATGGAACTCTTCCTCAAGAAGACAAACTTTAGGGGGACCATAGGAATAATTTTTCACCAAAGGAACAGGGACAAAACTCTTGACAAATTATGATCTTTGTCCCTAATGACATGTTTATGTTGGCATTTAGGACTGGAACATCCAATCAAAACAATTGTCGTGTTCCTTTTCTCTAAGATAATGTCTCAAATTTCTGAATCTTATTATGGCCATTTTTTCCAACAACAAGATAGATGCCGAAGTTAGAAAGAAATCTTTAACCCTTATCTTTATATATTTAAAAAGTCTTGTATTCTTATCTCATTTAACAGACTTTGTAAAAGAGAGAGTATTACCGATCATTTATTATCTCAAATGCTAGTGTCAGAACATAATGTTTGATTGACTAAGGAGCTCTCTCTTAAACGGAATGATCATAAATCTGATATCACTAAAGAATAATTATGACTAATTATATATGGATAATGAGAATTGAATCTTAGTTTTAGTCAGATTAAGACAATTCTCTTATCCCTATACCACATTTTAAATATCAAGAGGACATTTTGAATTTTTTATAAAATTAAAATAGACTTTTATTTTTCAAAATTTTTAATTTGACTAGTTTTTTGGTGTTAATCGCAAATAGAGGTTAGATTATAGCCTTAAAAAATGACACATGTTCCATTAACTGCACTCCATACACTTTTAAAATTATCATATAATTTTTACATGCAATCAACATTGAAAAACTAGCCAAAAAAAGCCTCTTATTCATTAAAAAAATAAATTTTAATAGTCAAATTAAAATTTTAAAAAATTAAAGACTATATCAGTTAAACTAAAAATTCTTAGTGTTTGAGGATGATTTAACTCTATCAAGATTAAATCCAACTTCCTCCAAAAAAAAAAAAAAAAAAAAAAAAAAAAAAAAAAAAGAAGAAGAAGAAGAAGAAGAGGAAAGATTAAGTCCATCATAGTCCGATAAAAAAACATAAGTTCTTCTACGTTGAAACTAAAAAAAAAAGTCACGAGAAATTACTTACTCACGCTTAGCTAACTTTAAAATTAAAGAAAACTATGAAAGCTTCTTGAAATTATCTGTTGCTCAAGTGCTAGGATTAGAGTGATCCAATCTCGTTTCATTAGGCTCTTAATGATTGCCAACAAAATCAAAATTACTCATATTCAATCAAAAAATTCGGCTGATAGCTTACGTAAGGGTTCAAAACCTCTCTTTGAGCATGAGCCTTTGAAGATTCTGGCATGCAAGAAATTCAAAATTTTTCTCTTTCGGATACAAGAAATTTCAACTTGACTGTGAGCTAACTCATCATTGTCTCTATTCGTTTGAGCCATCAATTTGTGGCTAGGCACGAAGCATGTTGAGAAAGAGAACAGACTCCATAGTCCAAGCATCTTGTCCCTACTATATACATGATTGGCTTATCTAGTGAAGATTCTATATACATGATCAAGAAATTCAAAATTTTAAGCTAATAGGAAAAATTTAATGATATTTGATACTAATAAAAAAATCATCACAATATAAAAACTCAAACAGTTAGATGAGGTTTTAGAACATAATTTTATAATAGTGACTTATTTCATTCATAATTTTAGAACATAATTCTATAATAAGACTTGCTTTGTCTTTTGTAGTATTTATTTTTTAATGAAGTTGTAGTGATATTAAGTAATTAGTTTATAATATGGATTAAGGTGGGCTTAAATGAAACAAAAAATCTACATGTAACAAACAATTAAAGGATCGAAAAATGAATATGGTAAAATCTTGCTTTCTAGCTAGCTTGGTAAAGTTATTGAAAGGAAAACGAATTTAATTAATTAGGTTGACTGCTACCAATTGGAGCTAATTATTGTTTAAGCATATGTATATATTTGATGAATGATTTGTCAATTGTCATAAACTTGACAAATAAAGAAAAGTTTTCGTGTGTTCTTCTGCATGTTACCTTGTGGAAAAAAAAAAAAAAAAAAAAGACAAGCTATCTTGTTATGATTTCTACATCACGAGGAAAAAAAATTAAATTCGAAAAAACTATCATTATTTATATGTACGGTAGGTTAGTATGGAATAAAACTATTGATTGCTAGTATATTTGGATCCTAATATCATTAATTAATACTATTTTCATGGACTTTTATAACGTAATTGATTTGATCACGTACGTAATTAAGTAAAGTTTATGTAATAACTGTATAAAGATAAATCTAAGGTTTTTTTTTTATTTTTATAAGAACAGGTTCAAATTCAATAATTTTTAGAAAGAAATGGATATTAATATTTTAGTGACAAGATAAATCTATGTAATTAACTTCTTGTAATAATTGATAATACAGAAACATTTTCTGTGGTCCAATCCCAATGCATGTGGCATTGGATTGATACCACATGACATGGGGACCATATGTAAAGAAAAAATGATCAAAATTTGTACGAATGAACATCAACCAGTTACATTTGTATGAACTCACTATGGACGATGCGGAGGAGATAGAGAAAGACAAATGAAGGATCCAATTTGAGAAACATACAGAGAAATTTGGTTAGGATTTAATTAAAATCAGTGACTAATTACTCGATCGCTCCTCAGTCAAACGTATAAAATAAGTATAATTATTCAAGAAATTTTTTATATATATAAAAACTCCAACCCAAAACTACTTATTTAAATTACTAAAAAAAATTTCATTAAATCTTAAATTGTGTTAATATAATTTATTAATGAATAATGTGTAATAAATATTAACAATTTTTGTCATTATTAATTAAGCTTTAATCATGCTAACAAATCTGGAAAAAGACAAAGCCACAGAGGCCAACATTGTATTCTCCTTTATATTAATAAAACTTAATTAACGCAACATTTCATGCATGGCATGAGAATTAATTTTATTTTGGGAATCATGGATTGTATTCTTCAATACAAAAGAAATCACACCGATCTAGGTTTTTATTTTTCTTTTCAGGCCATATACGCATTTTAATCCTCTAAATCACGAACATGATTTGAAGACCCGAAACCAAATAAAGAAAAGAAAAGAACATGATTATGTCTTCTCAACTCGACGAGCAGTCCTTTTTGTGGTCACTGGCAACTCAATTGCAGGATTAACCGAACCAGGATAGAAAGAATTTTCATGCCTGTCTCCATTGCCCCAAATAGCATAAGCTTCTTCACCATGAGCAGCATCATCACCAATCTCCATATCCTCATCAGTCATTCTCAGTGGCACCACCAGTTGTATCAGAAGACATATTATGCTAGTACTCAGAACATTAACAAAGACAACAAACACAATTCCTAAAATCTGAACTCCTATTTGTCGAACCCCGGAACCGATTCTACTTTTGTCATCAAAACCATAAAACAGGCCAATAAAGTGTGCAGAGTCTCCAGAAAACAACTTGTTTAAGTTCGGTTTAGAGAAAAGGCCTGTGAGAATACCTCCAAGGCTACCAGCAATGGCATGTGTATGAAGCACAGCCATCGTGTCATCAACCTTTTGAAGTAGTTCTGAATGCTTGTGGATAACCATCATGGTTATCCATGGAATTGACCCTGAGCATAACCCCATTATTATCGCTGCCCATCCTTGCACAACCCCTAAATCAAATATTGCAAGTCATATATATGCATCAGGAATTTAACTGGTTACATATATATATATATATATATATATATATATATATATATATGTTGCAAGTCTTTTATATTTGGACTTACCAGCAGCTGGAGTGATGCATACCAAACCAGTGATCATGCCTTGAACTGCACCAATAACAGATGCTTTGCGAAAAAATACGATGTCAAGTCCGACCCAAGTAAGCAAGCTAGTAGCCGTACATATATGGGTGTTCAAGACTGCTAAAGAAGCATCGGTGCTTACTACATAAGGATCTCCTCCATTAAATCCTGTCCAGCCCATCCAAAGCATTCCTGCCCCAAATAACATAAGGATAACGTTGTTTGGAGGAAATCTCTCTCTATCCTTTGTCAGACGAGGACCGACCTGTAGTAACAAAGTAAGTTAATTACTTGTCTATTTAATGATTGAATGAAGTTAATCAAGCTTGAGTTAATATAATTTTGTTTGTAAATGAATATGGGAAATTAGAACAAGTTATTTACCCAGAAAGCTGCTGTGTAACCAGCTACTCCTGAAGACAGATGAATCACATAGCCACCAGAATAATCTATTAGACCCATCTTGAAGAGAAAGCCATTAGGACACCACACACTAAAAGCTGTGAAAGTATACGAAAACGTTAGCCATAGAGGCACAAACATCATCCAGGCATAGAAATTCATTCGCCCTAACACCGCGCCAGCAATCAAAATCAAAGTAATGGCTGCAAAAACAGATTGGAAATACACCATTGTTGCATTGGGAAACATTCCAAGAAAGGCTTGATCAAGAAGGTATCTTTGGTCGAGAGCAACATTAGCCGTTCCCCAGAATGGTAGAAGTGTAGAGCCAAAAGACATTCGATAGCCCCATGTAACCCAACAAAACAGCACACAAGCAAATGCATAGACTACCATAAATGCAGAATTCACAGCCCATTTTTTCTTCACGCCACCACCATACAGAATCATTAGTCCTGGAATGCTTTGTAAACCAACAAGTGTTGCTGCTGTTAGTTGCCATGCATTATCACCTTTGTTCAACCAGTCTGGACTAGCTTCATCAGGTGCTAAATTAGAAGGAAAAGGAATATCATTGCTCATTTTCGCTATCCCAATTTTTTTTTTTTGGTCAAAAATTGTGAAGGTTTCTAGATGGAATTATGCAAATCTTGGTGAGGTTATAACTAGATAGATAATGGTTTTGTTTATAACGATAAGCTGTCTTTATGTTTTTCTTGATGGAAAAAAAAGCTGTCTCTATGTTATATAGTTCTTATCATTCATAGATCATTGTCAACTTCATTGTCACGGTCCTGTTTTCATATCGGCTGTGCATGATTTTAAGATTGTTGGCGAGCAACCCAACCAATTTTAACGACAATTCCGAGATCCCTTCATGTGTTTTCCAGCAGTTTTGCTGATGTCCTAGTTTGGAAATCCCGATGGCACAAATATATATATATATATATATATATAAACACAGCAGTATACTGTCCTTAGTTACAATTGAAGGCAAAATCAAACCTACGTCCTAGTTTACTGCTTAAGAGAAAAAGAAACCACTTACCGTGACAAAAAATAAAAAAAGAAAGAAAGAAAGAAAGAAAGAAAGATGACACACCAACTTCATCAAAGTTTTAAGACATATCTTTATGCAGGATGTTAACATGTTATTTGATTTTGTCCCATTTGCAATTTAAAAAAATCACTGTGACGACTGCTAGGGAATGGTAGCTAGTTTCACATGTAAGATTCGAATTTCTATTAGGGGATTAATTCATATCTAGATTCTAAGAGACGTGGGAATGAAGATTTGGAATTGACAGGTTGTTTTTTATAAGCCAAAACCCAGCACTAGATCAAAATAGGGCATTGCAGGAAATTAATAACACAAAATATATCGATCATGGGCTAATTAATGGCAGCGTAAAGCTGGCATACACTAGCTTCAACAGGTGAAACTCTGTTTATCAAGGTTGACATCACATTGGACAACGAAAGTTTTATGTATATTTAGATTCTCAATCAATCCAGACTAATTTAGTCAATGCAGCCACAAATAATTTGAATCCATCACACTCATCACTAGCTAGCTGATTACAATTTAGGATAGTTAATCTATTACATCAACCAGTCAAATTAACTTCTTTCATCTATATACACCAATTCTATAAATATGCATATAGGAATTTTCACATCTATTAACAAGCCGTAACAAGATCTATAGCATGGTTTAAATTACTTTTTTGCACAGAAAATCCTATATATGTATACATTCATACACAAATATCGCAACCTCTTTTTTCCTCCTAAATTCTAATCAAAGAAAGTGCTTTCTCAAGGTTCTTAGCCTTGATGCCAATATAATCTCTGACTGATACAGAACGATATAGAGGAATTTGGGTAGAATTTGAAGGCAGAGGAGAGAGATAGAAATCAGTAGGAGGGGAGTAAAAGTAAGCCAAGGACAACCTTTGTTGGTTCTCTTTCATTACCACTCGATGAAGAACGCTAGGAAACTGAGCATTTGAGAGAATATGCAAGAGATCACCAACATTTACTACAAGCGATCCATATGTAGGAGATACTAAAACCCAACCAACTCCTTCTTTGAAGATTTGTAAGCCATTTTTTGTACTTTGGTGTAGTATTGTCAAGAGGGAAGTGTCTGTGTGAGGAGCTAGACCGATGGCTCGATTTGGATCAGGACAGAATGGATAGGAGTTTAGCTGTAAAGCAGTGCTGGCGCCTCCAGATGAAACAACCTCATTTATTTCTTCTTCAGAAATGTCCAAAGACTTGAGAATTAGGTGCATTAGGGTCATGGCTAGCTCCTTCATTTTCTTCTGATAATCTTCCATTACATCGCTGTTTATATATATATATATATATATATATAAACATGTAATTATATTGGGAAAATAAAAAAAATTAATTAGATCAAGAAATCATATCCTTCTTTTGTTAATTTAATTCCTACTAGTAACAACATAACTATATTAATTATCACATCATTTGTTCATTGCAATACATGTATAATTGTTAGGCACTAAATAAACTAGAACTCTACAAAATGAGTCTGCTAGTAAAACTAAAGAAAAATTGAGGGTCTTGAAACTAAATAATTTTATATTCGGGACCAAGTGAGAAAATATTAGATACTATGAAATAAATAATTAAACTTTATTCAAATCTAAACACCAAATAAATAAATAAAAAGCAAACAAAAATTTGGGGGAGCTAGCCATGGCCCTGGCCCCCTCGGGCAATGTGTAGTTTGGTCGTAGCATGCAGACAATACATATAGGAGTATGCTATGGTATGTAAAAAATGATGGTTTGTAGAAGTGTCAATCTTTGAGTGGTTTAAGATTACTGGGTTTCAAAGCATCGCATATTGCAATATACATGCGATTTTCAAGTCGATTCAAACTTGTGCTAATTAGCCTAGCTTCTTTCTGAAGTTTTAGTATCAAAGTTTGTTTATATCTTTTCTACAGAAGCAAAATTTCGAGTTAATTTTTGAATTATGATTTTATAATTCAAAGATTCTTAAAGTATATCATCTGCCGTTTGGATTATTGGAAAAGCTTAACAACGGATGCCCAAAGCAAACCATTTTTTTCTTCCCTTATTCTTTCTGAAAGCACATGATTCCAACTTCTTTTGTACTAAAAATATTATAATATTTGAATTTTTACACATATTAAGAACGTTATAGATGGAATCGAAACCATGAGTTTGAAATATATAGAAAAAATGTAAAAAAATAACCTATTATTAAACGTAATTAAAAAAAATAATAATAAACATGTTTCGCAGAGCTCTTAGATAAATGGTTAATTTGGTTACATGAAAAAAAATAACAATCATCTTTCAATATCTTACTTGAAATAGGTTGCATTGCATATTATCTTAAATATTCATATCTGATTTTTATTATGTTAAATTATTTATGTCTGCTTAGATGTGTTTGTCATCAAATCAAATACTAATTAGTTCTAAGAGTCAAGTAATTTGAGATTTAGGTCAGCATATTCTCACTTTGAAATGAAACGGCATAAAACCCAAAAGAAATTAAAAATGAGATAAAAACTTCATCAAATCATCAAATAGGCTCGAAAGCCTTCACCCTCACATAAAAATCACAAAATTAAAAATTAAAAGTTTTGATGAAATGTGTGAAATGAAAATCCATAGTTTTGATTAAAATATGTGAAATAAAAACCCACGTATAAATGCATGAAGTGAAAACGTATGATTTTTTTTTATTAGGTAAAATAAAAACCCATATATGAATGTGTGCTCACAACTTGTCTTAAAATACATGAAATAAAAATCTACATATGAACACGCGAAATGGAAAAATACATAATTTTATTTATATTGCATGAAATAACAACCAACGACCTCACTTAAAATGCATAAAAATAAAACTTCACTACTTCATTTACAATGCGTGAAACGTAAATCCACGCTTTAGACTTTAGATAATGTGTGAAAAGAAAAATCATAAAAAAATCATATATAGATTTAGATAATTAAGAATATATCACATCGAAAAAACTTACGTGTTGTGATGAGCGACTCCTTCTTAATTTTATATATTAATTATCTTTTTTTTTTATCTATTAAATATGAGATGTGTTTTCTAATTCTACCTTAATTACTTACGGCTCACTTTTGGAGTTTGTCAAGTGGAGTGGCCCCCACAATCTTTGCTTGCTTATCGAATATTTTTTAGACTCTAATCCCATATACATAGAGTTAGACAGTTGAAATAAAATTCAATTCAAAAAATTTAAGTCTTGCATTGGATAATTATTTCTCAAGTTTATAAATTAATCATCTTTTTATTTATCTATTTAATACAGGATATAACAACTTTTTTTTACCAGATTTCATTGATCAATAGAGAGACATGGTTATTAAAAGAGAGAGAGAAAGTCTAATTTTTTTTAATTTTTCTTTTATATTTTTGAGGTTCTGATTCTCTATATATACCTAGTATGGACTCTGTATCCAGAGACCTCTCTATCTAGGTGAAGTTCTGGCTGTTCTTCTTATCACTATTTGTGTTGAATTTTTTTTTTTATATAAAAAAATAATAAAAATGATAAAAATGGCACATATATGATTCAAAATTATGATCATTTGATCTTTAATCAGACTCCTATACAGTGTTAAAAAAAATTTTCTCTCAAAATTTGAAGTTTTTAGATAAAATTAAATTAAAAATAATTTTGTATTACTCTGTAACATATTTCAATCAACTTATATTTCAAACAGTTGATTGATGGAAAAAGTTGTTGCACGGATTTATTTGTGTACCAAACCAATCCTATCATCCGAGTTCGATAAAATAAATATCAGTACTAACGCGGGTGGGTCCATTGCACCAATAAATCATATAGTTTCGGTTCAGACGAGTGTAATAATTTCATGATTGGAAATTAGTTTTGCTTGAAAGGGGTAGTTTGGAGATGGGAAGGGAAACGTATGGATGTAGAGAACTACTGATGGTTTAAAACTTCACTTTGCACCTTGAAACATGTCAATCTAACAGGCTCTTTGCTTGATTGATGACTCTAATCGTACCAAGTAATTACTTCCTTAACTACAAGCCTTAAGTAAGGCCATTAATATGCAAAATGAATTACTTCCATAAATTTCTCTACGTGCATGAAAATGCATGGACTCACCAAAACCGTTGGGGGTCATTGGGCCAGAGTTCCTCAGCATGATCCATAGGAGAACCCATGATTGTAAACCCTTCATGCCACATATACTTGTTGAAGAATGGCGAAATCCGAGCTATGCCATAGCCGGTGGCACCACCAGGAGACCTCAAGGCTTTCAATTTCTGTCCTGCTGGGAGAGAGAAGAGTCTTCTAGCTTCGGATTCAACTTCACCTAATAGGTCCAATGGAATGTCATGGTTTGTGACTTGGAACACACCCCATGTCTCACAAGCATGCCCTATCAGTTTCCCAGCATCGGGATCGGTGAGGTCGACCGTGGGTATTGATGATCGGTCATCGGACTCCAAGGCATGATCAGATGTATCCCATACATGTGAGTCGGGCAGGGTTCGGACTGAATCAAAGTCTAGGGGGATGATATGGTGGAGATGGAGAGGATGATCGCTGTAGGCTTCAGAAAGAGTGCTCATGGTAGCAAGCTAGCTATGGTTGATTATTAATGGGACAAAGTAAGCTGACCAGAGTAGTACGTATTTGTTGGTTAAATTAGTACACACACATATATATAAATGCATTAGATTAATGGATGAATACAAGGGATTAGGTTACGTTATGTAGTTGGGTTGGGTGAGGGTGGCTAGCTATTGTCCTGAGTGATGTCTGTTTGTGAATTCGGAAGGATTAGGGATCAGTTGAATGGGACAAAAGAAGATGAAACAATGAGAAAGTTGAGGCACATCTCAAAGTCTCAAAACAGTTTGTTTGTTTGGAATTTGGATATGATAAGGGGGACCCTCTTTTATCTTTTGCTTTACCTGCCTTGTCCACAAGCACGAAAACTGTTTAAAAGCAAGGAAATAATTAAGCTTGCAATAAATCATAGATATTTCTAATTAAATTGGAGATATAATATATATAGAGAGAGAGAGAGAAAGAGAGAGATCTTAATAGTATTTTATGATTTCTAATGTATATACTTATCTATGTGCATCTAATATGTAAAATATATATATATATATATATAATTACTTTTAGAATTTTATACACTTAGAAGATAGTAGTAAAATTAAGTAACTTTTCAATCTAATTTTATTTTATTTAAAGAAACTTATTAAAGTTAATATAGACTTGTTTTTTAAAGTTATATCACAATTGGATTTTTGAATTAAAATAATTATTTAACAATCTATTTAAAATATAAAAAATTAGTCTAGATTGAAATTAATGTATTTGTTTTAAGTTATCGTTTAGATTTTAGATCGTTAAGAAGAAAACGAAAACAAAAAACTTCACATTCAAGAGAGTTTGTAAGCGAGTTAGCTTGAGTGAAAGAGCTTTTATCGTTTCGATAAGTGATATCGGATTCGAATCCTTATATGTGTAGAAAATTTTTTAGGTAATTGTGTTCACTTTATGCATACGACTAAACAAGTAAGAGATTAATTTAAATCTTTGAACTTGAGATATCTTGAGAATTCAAAAAAAAAATTCATAAATATATCAATTACATAGATAGTTCATTTAAAACCTGATCATTGAAAAAAAAATCAGTAATTTTTTGAGCATACTTAAAACATACCATTAAGTTTGGGAATAACCATCTCTCTGTGTGATTGGGTATGGTAAATAAAATTTGGACGCAACCTAATGTCTATTTAGGGAAGGAGACAAACAGCACAATAATATTATAGGAAGACTTCGAAGTAACATGCAGTCTAGCTACTACCTGCCGACCGTGAGACATTGTCAAAGACCTGCCGCTATAAGCCAAAAATCGAAAAAGGTTGCAAAGAGAATTGGTCGAGCAGCTGGAAAACTTTGGTAAAGGCCAGGGGTAGCTCCGTTGTTGGCCCAATGTGCTTTGCTTTTGTAAAGCCACAAGTTGTATGAATTTGACCTTTGATTTTTGATTTGCGCAGAGTGAAATTATTCAGTCTGACTATTGGTCTCTCTTGAAAAGTATTCATAGTTGTCAAGGGGCCGGGGAGTTCCAATTAATTTTGGGGAAAATTACGGCCATGTTTTCGGATGAAGTACGTAGAACCCTTTTTACTCCTTAATTTCTAGTTTCAAGCTGCTTTTTTTTTTTTTTTTTTAATGAATGAGTTCATAGATTTTATTAATAAGGATCGATAACCATTGAAGCTGCTCTTTTTCTAGTTTGAAGCTGCTTTGTTGGTTGGAGAATATATATATATTAAGGAATTATTATAGTAATGCATATATGCTTTCTAGTTGTCAAGGGATTTCTAGTTTTGGTTGCTTGACATGCATATATGCTTCTGTTGGAGTATTTTATAAAAAATAAATAAATTATAGTCATTATTAAGGAAGTTGTTACAAATAAATTCTTGAAACGATATTGATTATTTCGTTCATTTGGCCCTTATATATATAAAAGAAAAGAATTGCAAGAATTTAAAGGATTTAATATTTTAATAATACAATATAATAAAAAAATTTAAAACCTTTTATTTTTTCTTTTTTCTTTTTTTATACTCCAACCAAAAAGTCATATTATTTGACTTTTTTTTGTTTTACAGATTTAGATAAGATTAGTATTATATTGTTTTAAATTTCAAATCTTACAAATAATACAAACTAACAAGACAAAGGTAAAGTGCTTGAATTTGCGATATTCATGACACAAATTGCTATATACACTTGTTATTTTATATCATAAATCTCTAAAAAAAATGTGTATCATCTCAAAAAAAAAAAAAAAATTAATTGTATTTCAAAACAGTTACTTCGAAAATTTGGTAAAATTGTTTTAGTATTTTTCGTTTGTGATCTCAGATAATATCCTTCCATTTTCCAACAGCTTCAAAATGTTTTTTTGAAAAACTAGTGATCAGATAGTGTTGTTAGAGTTGATGTAAAATTATTTTGTTGTTTTCCATTTGTAATCTTAGGTGACATCCTTCCATTTTCTAACAATTTCAAAAGTTTTATTGAAAAATAGCAAGTTAGTAGCCTTCTTATTTTGCTCGATGTTTCGAATTAATATAAAATTAATTTTAAAATCTCACTTAATAACTTAAGTTTTTAAATTAAAATAAATTTTTTAACATAATATTAGAGTCTTAAACAGCAAACGATTACAAGTTTGATTCTTAATAAAAAAACTATTTTTTAAGTTTTTTAATTGAAATGGTTTTTAGATATTTCAGATCATCATAATATTTTCATCTCAGCAATGCATGTTTTTTTTTTTTTTAATTCTCAATAAGATTTGTTTACATTCAAAGCCTAAAGAAAATTAATCATCTATAGATCGAATTAATACATGATGTATATTTGACATAAGCTATAGCAAGTTAGCAACAAAAATCATATGTTACACCATTTGAACGAACTGTGTTGGTAAATATTTATATACGGCATTTGCCATCAGGTGCAGAAAACAAAAACATGATAATATGAAGAGCACAATTGAAAATAAAGACTAATGCTCCTTGCATGAAGAATATATATCAATAATTAATGGTCTTATATATCGTACAGCACCCTATAATCATGGGTGTGTTTTGAAAACCAAAGAATACCAAAAAATTTCTCTCCTCGAATTCTTCTTCCTTCTCCCACCAACAAAATGCATGACGACGGCCAGTTCCATGGTAAAGTCAAATGACACTCCAAAAAGAAATGATTGGTACGTTAGATTATATTATGTTTGTGTGGTTCCTAATTATCGCAAAAACCCTCATTTCTAAGCTGTAACATCTCATAATATTCTATCATTTAAGTCTTACTAAAACTCAAGATATATAGATTGATGATAAGAAATCATGTTAATAAATCTTATCGAATAGTATAAATTTTAAGTACTTAGATAGATTTTTTTATATAGATTAAAAATCAAACTCAAAGGATTTTTTTTTTTTTTTTTTTGAGAAAATGTGCTAGTGAGTATAATAAAACTATATTCTAAAGCTTGTTCTCCCATAACGATTTAAGTTTTTTAATTGAATTGATTTTTTGATATGATATTAGAATTTTTCATAGATATTTAATTAACAACAAATTTGATTTCCACTACCTCTTATTCTTTTCTAATCAAAAACTAAATCAATACAAAATAATTGCGTTTTTGTATAAATTCCAAAGTTAAATGACTGAAAAGACATGTTGGTAAATATAATAAAACTATATGCTAACGCATAAGCATAAAATCTTTGAGTTCTCTCACAATAAAACTTGTAAGGATAATTTTATCTCTACTCCTACTTATATACATACATATATATATATATATATATATATATATATATTTCAGAAAATTCATCTCTATACTGATCCTTCCACGTAAAGCTCAAAATAAAACTGAAAATTGAGCTGATTATTACTTCCACATGTGAGAAGTAACACAGAGAATACATAGTTTAATTTAAAATTAGATGACTTTAATGTTATTTATTGCTTTTTTTAGGTTCAATAATAAGAGTATTCTTGATCAGTTTTCGTGTGTTTTGAAATTAATCTCTATCTGAACGTGGTTACAGAGCATTATCCAATACATAATTTTGAGTATTCTGAAAATAAATTTTCAAGAATACCGATCACAAAAATCAACTCTAAACCTAACTTATAAATCGATATTTTTGTCTACCAACGAATTATCATCTTATGATTATTATTTACTATATTATTCAAAGGAAACAAAAAAAACAAATGAAATAAACTAAACAATAAAGATAATTTAAAAAAAAAAAAAAAAAAGGAGAGGCATGTGGTTTGGCTATATATGTATAGGCCTGCCGCCTACCGGCTATCACTTTTGTGACTTATATTTGACATCCTAAATCACTGGAAATGCGAAAGAGGGGACGGGAGACACAACTATACCAATCCTAAATCAATCACTAGAAACATGGAATTAGTGTTTATTTAGGGAGATTTGAAGAAAACTTGTTTGAGGGTTTAATTTCATGTGAAGATCACATCAATTTTTGTTAACATGTCTCCAATTATGGAAACAAATTTCTGGCAAGAATATCTCTCCAAGTATATGTCTTTGACATTAATGAAATTGCTTGAAAGAAGCTTATGTCTATAAGGAATTGAATAGGATGTGATTGATACTGGGAAAAAAATAATTAATTAATTGACATGTAAATTAATTGATTTGAGAATATTTCTTACCGTCAAAAAAAGAAAAGAAATTTCCACAACCATATCAACCAGCTAAAGTGGCAGTGTGGAATTGTAAGAATTCGCAACGATATTACCTATGTTGACGTCCAAATTAACTTATTAAATAAATTTCTTTTCCTATAAAAAAAAAAAATCTTCTTTTTCATTCTTTTTATATTTTATAACGTCGGTTTTCCCCTCCTTTTTCCTTGAGAAAATCCTGCGGTCCATCAACTAGTGGAAAATTTTGACAAAAGAGAACGTATATTTCAGTGCAGAACACAGAACATAATTAATATTCCTCGTCTTCATGATCATTGATCAACTACTGACT